CAGACAGTTCTTTCGCCACCTTTCTCCATTTCACTGAACTTTGACCTGAGTTCCCTTTCTTGCTCGCACAATGTCCTTCCGGTATTCAAATTCACGGAAAAAGTTGTCACACATTTGAGGCGTGATTCCTTCCACGGAATGGACGATGAGTTTTTTTTTAAACCTTGCAAACAAGTAACTTGTGTGCGGTACACCTGGTCCTTTGTGTACCCCCAAAGAAAGAAATCCATGGGCGTTAAATCCGGCGATCTTTCAGTCCATGCAACTGCCCCATTCATGTAGGCTTAATAAAACAGTTATCGTAAATAAAACTTTGATATTTCCGCTGTCATGAAAACCGCATCCTTCTGGCTATGTATTTAAAATGTGTCCACTCTTTACTTTGAGCTAGTTGAGAAAACAGATGGGCATCTCAGAATTTCAACACCAATTTCACTATGAGGTCCAGTGAAAGTTAGCTGACTAAAATGTTTACTGCTTTTTATAGATATCTAATGTCCATTACCGTGTTCACAATAACCCCCCAGTGGATTCTGTCTTACGTCACTTGAGTCCAGTTCAAAATGTCACATCCAATATCTTTCAGATCTTTAATGTCATTCCCCTAACTCAAAAGATCTCTCCCTTTCAAAATCTTTTATATATTTCTCATCTCTTGTGTGAATGCTACGTTTTTGCCCATCTCTCAATAATTAATTTGACATCTCTAATATTTGATGAATATAACAAATTATTAAGTTTCTCATGCAGATTTTTCCATCTTTATGTTACTTAATTTCTCTTACATTCAAATATTCTCTTAAGAGCCCTATACTACCACTTCTGTTTATAAGTGTAAGTTAAAAGTTAAAAACAATAAATACTTTACAAAGATGAAGTTTCAATCATTTTCGAAGTAGGCCTAATTCTAAATTTGACACACGAGTTTCTCCTCTAGTGTAGAGGAAATTCCAATACGTAGAAGAAAAACTAGCTTCAGCTATGTTTCGATATAAATTGACTTGTTAACAATCGTAAAGGATCAATAAGATTGAGCGACCAATACGAACAAAGGATCGTTCAAATGTATTCCACTGTTTTTCTTGTGTTATTGAAGAAATGTTAATACATAAACCGCTCTGTAACACACTTCTCCTAACTAGAATCTCTAACCTTCAACGCTCTCTAAGAAGTAACTTGATGCAGAACATAACTCAATTTCGTGCTTAATTACCGTGCCATAGAACAAGTTCAATTTTATGTCCAAATCCGAAGGCCACTTTGCTGCTACTAATAGCGATTTCACATTCTGGTGCGCGTTGTTAAACGTGTACGAAGGAAACAAAATGAAGTAAAGAGAGAAATGAAGAAACTTGAAAGAAAGTTTAAGAAAGTGAAAGAGGGTGGAAGAATATAAGGAAAGTAAGGAAGAAGGAAAGAAGGAAAGAAAATAATAAAAAAATAAGTGAGCATTTCATATTTCATCGTGTTTAAATACGCCGCCTGTCGTCAGAAATAATATCTCTGTTGAGAAGGAAGGCGAGACCTAAACGCTCTGGGTCTTGGACTAAACGAATTGCAGATTGTGATAGTCACAGCCGTTCATCCACTATTTGCATTGCTCAGTTTCTCTTCCTAGGTACACACCTTGAGACGGGCTAACCCTTATTTCCAAGAGTACCTAACAGTATCTAGATGATGATAATAAATTCTTCTGCCAGCCGTGTAAGGTGGTTTGATGAAGACACTAGTAACGTTTCCAGAACCATCTTCGTCCTCGTCCTCAGGGTAATGAGTACTCAGAAAAATTTATTATATTTATTCGCAGTGAAAGCTTCCGATCATGCGTGTAGATTATTGTTTAATCTGCACTAAAGAAACAATACCATTATTCAATTGAATAAAAATTTTCTTGGATATTATCCATCGTCTAGTAATTATAAAACGTAAAAAAACGACGTTTCGGAGATGTCATCTCTGAAGAAATCCAAGTTGGGCATCGAGTTTCGAATTAATATTAATGTGTATTTATTCCCACCTTTTGTGAGTTTGTTTTATCGTGTTTAATGAATTTTGATTTCTATTATCTATTCTTTTACGTCCCAGGATGGATGCTGTGGTGATGTCTTTTTATTCCGGGACTTTCACTTTTTTAATTTGTCCGGAGATAGGGATTAGCTCTATCTAGTGGTCCCATCTCCGAAACGTCGTTTTACGTTTTATATTTACTAGACGATGGATAATATCCAAGGAAAAAGTCCGGAGATAGGGATTAGCTCTATCTAGTGGGCCCAACTGAGTAGGAACCTGAAGACGGAGATAGAGTCCCATCTCCGAAACGTCGTTTT